AGTCGGCAAGCTTCATTAATATAGACAGGTAAAATATTAAAAAAAAACTATAGTTTGACGAGTTTTTCACGATCGCATGAGGTATAAGTACATCTATTCTATTATGAAAGTTTTTGTATAATAAACGTACAATAAATGTTCGGTACTTGTTAGAAATTAAATTGTATGTAAGTAATGTAAGTACAATAAATATCATATTGCTATTTGGGAACACTAATAATTAATCTTTCCAAATATAGTATAATAACTATTGGATGGCACTAAAGAAGTATAATATAATGGATAATTTTAAATTAAATAATAAAAAATAGAGATACTTAGCGACAGTCCTACATCAATCCTGGTAAAAAAATCATTCATTACTGCTTATCAATGGTCTACTGAATATAAGCCTCGCCCTTGGATTGCCTCATAAGTGTAATAGTATTTTTTTTACCCAGGGCAGTAACATATTTGCAGAGTACCGCGAACCCTATAAAGAAATACGCCAATGGTGGCGAGATGCGAACATATCATCATACGAGTATAATCATAATTGGAACCTAAATACTAGGCATATTGGTCTCAGTTCAACCGTAGACCATCTACTCAAGCTTACATAATTTTACGCTCATTTCAAATTTTTTAAGGTTTTACATCAGACTTATAACTCCATAGGAACAGCGTATCTTTACGGATACGGACGTACAGTGTTACGGTGCGTGCAACTACTTAACCGCAACGTTGAATATTCAGCGTTCTGTTGGTTTTATTCACTCATCACTATGTATTAATATTCAAACGGTTGCTTATTCTAGCTTCAAGGCTAATTTTTTCTACATAATTTTAATTTTAATTAAACAACTATTAAGAGATCAGTCATAACGCTACGTTACGAGTTAATGTGTAACAAAATATGGACATCTATAAAACTTAAGTTTGTAATAGGAGACCAGAAGGAAGTAGAATGAATCTAAATGAAATATTATAGTGACGATGAAAGCTTATCGCTTAGCGAGCTATATTTATAATCCTAAATAAATATATCCACAGTACATCCAGAGTAAATAATATTTTTATGAAGAAATGCCTACGCATATTCACCTCGCGGGAGTTACTGTCTTCCTACTATATCTCCTACCTAAGTAGTACAATCGATAGCCAACGTGGAAGATCAAGACTTGCAGGAAGTCGTCGATTTTTTACAAATATAACAGAAGTCATAGTTATTGTAATTATTATTCAAACTTTACCCAAAAAACCGGATAAACTCAGTATTAGTTTATCGGGCATTACCCGTCACGTGCAGCCTATGTAAATAATAATGGTCCCCAGTTTGAGTATATAAGTGCGACAAATTTTGATATGATAAGGTGTATCTTTTTTTAATAAATATTAAAGTTACATTCTATTTACCTAATTATGTCAGGTATGAAATATTCGTCTGGAATCATTACTGTAAATGAAGATTTTAACCCAGACTGATGCGATATTGCGATCACTATACGAAACAGTTGGCAGATAGCAGATAAGAAGTTCCTATGCCATCATCACTTGTCATTTTCATCGAACACGATTCACTGTATGGAAGAACATATTATTACAAGTGTTAGACCCATGCACCAGCTATATTGTAGTTGCAGAACGAATGGGTCGGCTCGACCGGGGAAGGACCAAATTCTCACAGAATACCAGCGTAAAATAGCAGCTTAATGCTGCTGTGTTTCGTATAGTGAGTAGTAGTAGTAGAGAGCCGGAAACACTTCTTACTGAAAATAAGGAATTCCATCTTTTAGTCTTCTGGGTTGACAACGCATCTGCATTTTGATTGTTAATCGAGAATAGATGTGGATGTTTATGGGCCACAACATCCACTTAACATCAGGTGTACTGTGTGCTTATTTGTCACTCTTATTGTATGAAAGAAAAATATTATGATGTGTATTATTATTAGACCTATGTATACTTATTTGACCTAAGAGAAATGACTTAAGCCTTGCTCATAATATTAGACATTAACAATTAAATTTAAAACCGTATATATTTTTACTGATTCAAATTAAACACTTGTTTTGAAATGGATCGCTGCGTATAAAATGTATCGCGGTATAAGAATATCCACCAGCCTATATCACCCCGTGGATGTCGTAAGAGACGAAAGAGGAAAACAAGTCAGGAGATGGTCAGCAGCATCTTACAAATAACGAATAAAAATAGAAAAAGTTGCCAAACCGCTCGCCAAGAGTGGCAACTATGGCAAATACCCTTATGAGGCAATCTATTGGGGAGTTATCTATGTTCAGCAGTGGAGTTTAATAGGCTGTAACGGTAAAGGTATAAAATTAGGAAGATACGAAAATGGTAGCATATGTATATTTACTAAAATTATATATAATAATTAATAAGGATATTAAGACTTTTGCAAAAATCTCAAGCAGATCAATTTAAATTAATTTATTTATTTATAGATTAGTATTTTATAAATTAATTATAATCAAAACAGAAAGTTGAAAGCGATTCTTATCTATATTAGGTACTTAACAATAATGTCTTTTTAAATTTTTTCATTAATAAGTTATAAACTATTTAGGTAGGTATAATATATAACTTAATTTCACAGTAACTAAAAGAACACTTCACTTTTTGCATTTTATAATAATATTTTTTCCAAATATGGTTCTATTAATAACATATTTTAAACATTTTTTATTACAGTATACATTTTAAGAGCTCTACGTTATGCTCCTTATGATTAGTAAATAGCATTTGCAGCTATTATAAAAATTATCTGCTTAAAAAAGGAAATACATCTGTTTTTTTTTAAGTTCCGTTATCGGATAAGAAGTAGCGTAATATGTTGCCCAGAGTAACTTGCAACAATTGTGTACACCTAAATACCACATTTTTATTATGGAAAAATATCCTGTAGTTTTGGAGTGCATCGTGGATACACCATAGACTTAGAATATTCACTATACTAAGTCTCCCACAGATATACAGACAGAGAGAGAAAAATTTTTAGAACCACTAATTTGGCTCAGTATCTTTTATACTTATTAATTCTACGAAATATCTGAATGAAAGACATAATTTTTCGACAAAGCTATGAATAGATTAGGCAGTTTTTTTATCATAAAAGAGGAGAATTTAGGTCTTTTAAAGTACAGATACCCCTGAGAAATAATATTAAGTCACACAGCTTCTAATACTGGCATTGTTACCTTTAAGGACGGAAATATGTAAGAGAGGGACACCTAATCAGACGGAACTTAGTTTTTTATATAAGTAAGAGTTACAAAACAGCCAGACAGATGACTTAATGGTTAAAATGGATATGTTTCATTACGTGTAAGAAGGGTTTGCGGTTCTCTATGCTCACCACACGAAGCACAGTAGTGAGCATGGTTCTTCCACAGTCAAGCCTACCCATTTGTCCTACAATTATAATAAAGATGCATGGCTCTACCACGTAGGTAAAGAAGGAGCTCTACGGGAGCCGTGTAGTGGCAGCATAAAAGAATCAGTTAGTTTCGTCTTTTGTAATGCTTACAGAAAAAGAGTGGAATAATGTGCCGGCGTCTGTCTTTCCGCCCGAAAACAATCTGGGCGTCTTCAAGTCAAGAGTGAATTGGCTTTTGTTACGCTTAGACAGTGTAATTTACCATCTAAGGTTCCATCACCACTTACCACCAGTTGGAGTTGCGGTCAAGCACGGGCTTATAATAAGTAAAAAAAGACTTTTCTTCAAATACTTTTTCAGTTATAGAAAGGAATAACAAAAAGCTTTTGAGCAAATTTCAAAAACAAAGTCATAAAGCAAATATGCTAAAACTGTTCGCATTAAGAACACGAAAATAGATAATGATCGCAATGTCTCTATGTTCGTACAAACACCTGCACATAGTGACTAGAGTTACTACCGCACTATTTATTTTTTATGCTGTTACTATAGGTTGATGCTACATAGTTGCGGTACTATGTTATGATAAAAAATACTGCGAATGCTCGTTTTCTTACTATCGGCGAAAAGCAGCGAGCTTCTTGTCTGCCGTATACAAAGTATATTCGCTTACATTCATTAAAATATAAGAAATGAGTTCTACATGTTTTATTAGACTTGTTTGAGATATCAACCTTTGCATTGAAAGAAGTATGGATTCAATTAATTTTAAATATCACTTGCATTTACTATTAAAAAATAAATAACATGTTTTTACAAGATTTTAGATCGGTGCATTTAATTGGTTACCCTAAAAAGCCTTCAATGAACATTTTTAGAAAGGTCAGTCAGATACGATAAAACAATTATGATACAAACAAGAAATAGCGAACTTTATAGTTAGCAATTCAACCGTAAACGATACACATGAATGACGAAGTTTGCTTAATTGTTGACGGACGAAATTAACTGAATATTCAACACAGCCGGCACAATTAAATCATCTCACGTTACTTAATGATACCTGGACGAGTCCGCGATAACGAAATCTAGTTTATAAAATTGTTCAGCAGTAGTTATTTATATAAAATAAAACTATAAATTACTTTGTTTTCAATTAACTTCGTTAACTCAATCCGTAGTAAAAAAGTAGGTGTATAACCGAGAATAAACTTAATTCTTTCCCAAAACACGCGATTCCGATGTAACCCACAATATCTAGTTGAAGTAAAAAATTACTGAATAATTTATATTTTCCACTAGCATAAGTTTTTACACCCTCTGGTTTGTGATTGATTTGTGTCTCTAGCCATTTACAAATGCGGCATAAATTGCGAATAAAAATTGTTGATGAGTGTAAAATTATCGAAGCACTGTTAGTAATAATGCACAGATACTACATTTTTATTAATAATCTACATTGAAATTATTTATAAACAAAACAGATAACTTTATTTTATTGCTTGTCTTATTCAAAACTAAATAAAGCACTAAAATCCTACTTCATATAATTACAGTTTTATGTATTTATTACTAAAAATAATAACGAAAAACTATTATATATGATAAAATATGAACTTACCCAAAAGCTTTCCACGTAGTGTGAAAAAAGAAAAACACCCGGAAGAGACATCGTTACCAAATTAAGTTCACAGCGAGAATGATAGAGGGTCCACGTCTCGCTTTTTATTTATACACTTACTGTTTACTAACATCACATAAGAATTCCTTTATTTGTCCGATAGGCGCGATACCGGCTGCGGAGCCCGCGTGCGCTCAGGGTCTCCTGCAAGCGAGTGCCGACTGAGAGCGGACGCTACACTGCGCCCCTATATACGTAACCTACTACTTCTTGCTTGAGCCTGAACACTTGATTTCACGCTCTACATCCACAAATTAATAACTATGGATATTGGCTACCACTCAAGCACCAAGGTGTATTGTATAGGTGCACGTGACAGGTAACAACTGCTTGCGACTTTCTAAGATAAATAGATCCGTAATTATAATTGACCCATTTGAGACCCGATAAGGGCTCGGTAGGCGAATCAAATGGAGATTAAACTGGTTCAAGGACGACGCCTGGCTGATAGTGTTACATGTGCGCTTGGACCCATGCAACTGTTCGAAGATAATCGATTTACGATTGATGTACCATGGTTGGTATGCGTACACTGTGAAATAAATAATAGCAAAATATGCGTACCAAGGCGATAGGTATGTTAATCTCTACAATACCTGATGTATTTATGGTTAGATTATTTTTTGTTTATACCTACATCACATAATATGATGTCAATCAACCCGCACAGAAAAAGTATTTACAGCGTTGTGAAAAACAATATCGCAAAGAATAAATTAATAACAATTGTTTAGTACGCGCAATAAAATATAAACAGATAAAATGTGACATAAGGTATTATTAATCTAATTTTAAATCATTGTTTTAGGTTGTTATAAATGTATGCTGTAATAAGGAAATACATTTAACGTCTCTACATATCGACTACACGCGTAAGGGAAAAAAGGCTGTCCCGTTGGTCTAGTGGTCGAATGCGCATCTGCTGATCATAAGGTGCTCGGTTGGATTGAGGTTGGGGAGTCCCAGGTCGGATCAAAATTTGTTGTGGACATTTTTTTGAAGAAATTCTCAGTAGCAACCAAAAACTTAGGAAGTTTTACCCCCGTACCTTGGAAAGCACGTAAACCCGTTAGCCCTGCGCCGGATCACTCTCCGGTTGAGTCGCATTGCGTTGTTCCAGTGGAGACTAACATCTTGCGCAAGTGGTTAGTCTCCGCTGGAACTGGCCGTTGTGGTCGAAATTCGGTAAAATCGGCCAAAAGACATTGCAGAATGCGGGGATAAAAACATCAATTATACTAACTTTATGCACGCGTAAAAGATTGTTCCATGTATTAACAATAGTTGTTGTGTTAAATACGACTGTACGATATGAAATAGGTAAGTTAGTGAGTTAATAGATTTTATAGTGTAATAGATGAATTACAAGTGTCTAATAAGGGCCTTTTAGCCAACTTCATAAATAGGGTGAGGTAAACCACTCAAGTGTTTTTTTTTTTGTATCTATGACACGCGATAATTTCGCCAACTGTGAACCGATTTCGATGATTCTTTTTTATATGACAGATATAAAATTCAGGGGTAAAATAGGGGATACATTTTTTTTACCGGAACTTTAAGACAACATTGAGGTTGTGATATTACTTAGTCCACTTTAAAAGGTAATTTTTTTAACTTTTATTAAAACGTACGTATTAAAGTTTTTGTTTTGTTAAAACATAATATAATATTAAATCTAACTAAAAGGTTACACACAATATTAAAAAAACTATAATAGAGAAAAACTAAAACTAAACATTTAAATTGTCACACAATCCAACTCCCCGTGGTATCGTGCGAAAAACGCTGGCTGAGTTTCCTCGCTGAATAGCTTACTTACCCTTAAAAAGTTTTTATTATATGTAATTTATTTTATAAAATTGAAGTGGCAACCAAACATACAGTTTACTCGATGGTAAGTGGCTTCAGCAGTCTGTGAACATCTGCAACCAACTTTAAAAAAAAATTGCTACATTGTCATATCGGAGGATTAAGATGTCCTGTAATTTTACTGGCTCTCTATGGTTTCTGACCGGAGCACAGAGACCCGGAATACTATATAGACGGACTTCTAGGCAGAAAAAGACTCCTAATACCTGGAGAGAGCTACACATACTATTGCAAACCTTTAGATTTAACAGTCGACTGTGCAGTGCAATTGTTTTGCTTTGTAGTAATGAACTCGTAAGTAGGGAATACACGTAGCTTTTTTTCTCTTTTCATAACAAAATCAATAGCGAAATAAATGAATACATAAAAATTCACAAATCAATTTTTTGAATATAGGTAGGTATATCTAGTTTTATTTTAAATTATTTATTTTAAAAACGGATATAAAAAATATTCATTTGTTTACCGTCGCTGTCGAAAACGTTAACCTTCATAGTACAAAAGTACTTAAGTTTATAATTTCAAAAGTCGCAACTTTAAACAAGAGTCTGCTTCAATAAAAAAGTTTCCGTGGAAAATTTGCAAACTATATAAGTATAGCTTTTGATAGCAAATGTCAATTTCGCTTCGTGAAAAGGACCATAGATTAAACTTGAGGCTACCATTTACTATATCTGAACTCCATTTTCTAAACCATGTTTTGTAATAAGACGGTAAATGTTTTCCCATGATATCCTACCAATAATTAAAAATTAAAAATTTTGTACAGCCGACTTCAATATAAATTATTAAGAATAATTCAAATAACTCAAAAACTATTGGTCTGACCTTGATTTGCTTTCATATAAAAATAGAATCATCGAAATCGGTCCACCCAGTAAAAAGTTATGAGGTAACACACATGAAAAAAAAAACATACGCGTCGAATTGAGTACCGTCTCCTTTTTGGAAGTCGGCAGAAAAATAAATTACTATTATTGAAATGGTGTTTCGAATTCAGTCAACGTTTGATTCGTGGTAAAATGTCTTCGCATAATAACCTCGCGGGAGCAAGGACGGGCTTGGCCAAATCTCACCAACTAAAACCCATTGGTATTCAACCATCGTCGCATATTGAGAGTGCTACGGTGTACACACCGCGCCTCCAACAGTACCAGGTACCCTATGGTAGCGCCTCCTTGGGGAGAGGATAACTTCTCCCCCTCTTCCTCTTCCGACAAGACGCCCCAGAATACAAGGCGCGCTTTCCTACACGGTTTCCATTTCCTCCTGCGCAATGGACCTCCCCGAGTCACTTACGCGGAAGCCATGGTGCCAGGAAAATCGTGCGTCTATAAACACCAGCTTGTCCCAGCAGCGAATCTGGTCTATAGTTCCGCCGCCAACCATATTTTGGCCACGGAGGGTAGGTAGGGTAGGTAGAGCGGTGTATCGTAATACTGACACTCCCCTTCTCACCGCATCAGCGGTGCGGCACTAACTAGTCGCGGAAGGTAGGGTGAGTGGCGCCTCGCCATACTAATACCTCTCTTCATCAGTGGTTCCGTCTTGGCTGCCACGGGTAAGGTGAGAGTATAACCCACAATCTACTAACGTGCACCCGGAGTTGCATGACCAATATTAGGATATTTTTCCGCAAATCCACGATAGGTAAATTAATTTCCATTTTAATAAGTGTAACAACACAACTTGGATACTGTGTATACATATACACAGATTGTCGGTAGATTGTGTATTATATTTTAATATCTGTAACAACACAACAATGATATTGTGTATAAGTACATGTATAGAATTCTATGATGTATAAGAGATTGTCGGTAGATTATGACTCGTCCTTGTACAAACATTATCGTCTGTTTGCAAGCGCTCCATGGTTTATAAATGCTGATAGCAAAATTAGGCCTTAGGTTCCGGCGCGTTAGATGGTGCGCCAAGTTGCGACTGAGGTAGCCCAAGGGCACCACCACCCACTGTCGATGATATTACTTACTAGGCGATTTCATGTTTTTGACAAAGTTAACAGAAGTCATAGTTATAAATTATCGACCTGACTTTACGATCAGACTACGATAGTAAATTATAAACGGCGTGCGTATAGTCATTTGGATTTCATGGACTTTCCCAATTGAAAAGGCACTTCACAATTTGCCTTCAGCATTTCACAAACTAGCAAGCATTTGCAAACAGATATGCCAATTTTATCAGCGTCAGATATGCCATTTTTATTAGATCAGATCAGCTAGGGAGCGCAGTACGTAACCTGCAGTACCGTTGGCTTGAATCCCACTCGGAACAAGTGTTTTATGTAACGATTTCTGATATTTACGTGAGCACTACATATCGAATGAATAAGGGTAAGCAACGAACGAGCACACAGTCTCCCTGATGGTAAGTGGATACTGTGGCCCATATACATCTACATTTACCCTTGAGGACTAAGATGGAATACCTCGTTTCCAGTAGAAAGAGTCTGCGGTTCTCTCCACTCAACACACGAAAGACAGCAACTGGTTACGCTGGTATTCTGTGAGAGCGTGGTCCCGGTCGAGCCGACCCATTTGTGCTACAACTACAATACAGCTACAGCGAAGCTCTACCACGTAGAAAAGTTTTAGTTTAAAGTTTGTCTCGTTTAATCAACTTATAAATAATATATTTTGGACGAAAATTATTAATATTTAGTCCGGTAGATCGGGCCAAAACTTAATAATTTTAAGTTGAAGGTAGCCGTGGTTAACTATAATATTGGGAATATTAGGACTAAACGTACACCTCAGTCTCCCTGTGACTGAATTCATTTGAAATGTTTGTCATACAAATATAATTGTTTCTGGTCTGGATATTTGCCCTAGTCTAATTTATACAAAGCGTTCCACTTTCGCGATACAGGACAATACTACTGTGAGGGCAAGCAGTTTTATCAGGCGCCTCGCAGGCGGAATGTCTATCGCAGTACCAGATACCCCGCAATTTCGACGCTGCAACGAGGTGGTTATTCCACGTGGGTCATTATTCCGAGGTGGTTATTATATATCAAAGGCCATATGTTTTATTATACGATATACGATATTCGATAATCACCTTTTACGACACTCACGGAACAAAATGGGGTAATTGCT